ATGGATGGATGGATGGATGGATGGATGGTTGAATGGATGGATGGCTGTATGGATGGATGGACGGTTGAATGGATGGATGGCTGTATGGATGGATGGACGGTTGAATGGATGGATGGCTGTATGGATGGATGGTTGGTTGAATGGATGGGTGGGTGGATGGATGGATGGTTGAATGGATGGATTCATGGATGGATGGATGGATGGATGGATGGTCGGATGCATGGGTGGATGGATGGATGGATGGATGATATACAATAAGAAAAAATAAGTATAGAAACTAGAATACAATCATTAAGACTTTTTTACAAACACAAGAATGAATTTTGCCATCAGCCATAAACACTTCCATCAGAAAGTCATAAATAGATCTGATGAATAATTTCCTGCCCCCTGATTGATGATTGAAACTCACTCATATCAGCGTCAGACAGATGTGCGTCATGTACCTTTAAGGCAGTATTCTTGCTGTAAGCCAGCAAACAGCCCTCTTGTCTGAATGAGCTGTGCCGGTCATGCTCCATGCTGTTGGAACAAATGAAGTCAAATGGAGGCTTAATTACAGCGATAATTTGTTGCCCTGTGGCTAAAAACATCTTATCACTAAACAGCTGGGAAGAACTTTATTTGACTTGATGAATCCATAATTGGGTCCAGGGTGACTGTCAAAGTGCGTCTTTTTTAAAGTACAACAAGACTCCCCATTGTGCGTTTTTTAATATCCTGAGGGTATTCATGACAGTAGTGTGTTTTGCAGCTTGATAATTCAATTCAGCCTGTAAGATTCAAGTAAATAAGCCTTTAAAATTCATTACACACATTCATTTTGTTTGTTTGTGTATACACCGCATTACACTCCAACATATGACAATTTAGGAGTATTAGCTGCTGATTTTGTGGTAAGGCTTTCCACAAAGGAATCTGCTCAGATAAAAAGACTGAAAGCTTTTGGCAGTAGACAAGGCATACTTTTTTCATGTTGCTCTGAACAGTACTTACTGTTCTTGGTGTTCTAAAAAAAATTACATTTTCTCAGAAACATTTGCTTCTCTTTTGAAGTGCACAACATTTTGTGGGTGCTCCTGACAAAAAAAGAAAAAAAAAACTGATAGAATGGAGGTTAAGGTGGTTATTTGCCGAATAAGTGGCAGTCTTGAACTGAAAGGCATCAAAGGTTTAAAGCTTTTGAGAGTAATTGTAGTAATTAGACATACTGAGCAAGCTCAAATTTTGTGCTTTCTCAAGTTTCTCTCCTGTGACAGAAATATGAAGACTGTCATGTAAAGAGCCAAAGTTAATACAGGAAAGAAAGACATAAAGGCATGCTTTCAAATAAAGAACCCCACAGGTAAACACACATATTATTTGAAAATAACATAAAAAGTAAAGTCAATAAAAATATACTAAAAGCATATATACCAGTATTTATCTTCTTTAAGACTCTCTGCTGCTTTTTTTTCCTTGTCTTCTGTAATTTTCTGTATTTACAAATGTTTCTGTTTCTCCCTTTTTCTAAGCTAATGTCAAACATCACCTACCATACAATAATATTTTTTTTGTCAAAATGTATTTTCTCTTCCAAATACCCACATGGTAATATATATATGGACGCTGTGTAAAAAAAATACAAGACTTTTGTAATCTAAAAACTCAGTGCATATTAAGCATAAAGGTATTGGTATAAATGAGGTATTAGGTATATTAGCATTTTAGTCCGTTTACGATCTTTTTTTTATTAGTTTAGATTTTTAAACATAATCTTGAAGATTTATCAGCTAAAATCATTATAGTAACATCAACATTGTTGATATGTCACCAGGGAAATTCAGGTGATTCATTTTTTAAAACTTTTTTCTAACCACATCCAAGTAGTGAAAAAAAAGAGTATGTTAACAAAATGAATTGTAGCAATATTTATTGAACAGATTTACGATGTATTATCTACCTTCAATTGTGTCAAATGATATCCAGTCTTTTAGATTATTTTATATGAATGGAGAGAAGTCATGTCATCAAAACATACTCAGCACAAAAAGTGAGGAAATGTGTGTTTTGTACATGTTTTTGTTGTTGTAACGCATCCTGCCAATAAATCTTATGAGTGGCATGAATCATTGTCAGAAGCATTGTTAAAACACACATTTCATCACTTTTTAGGCTAAGTTTATCTGGACTTGTCTCCTCACCTGGATATATTTTACCCTTCTTTTCATTGTTTCATGTCAGGAAAAGGTTGCACTGTCTCCTCTCATTGGCCAGAGTTCAGATTACTGCTGCCCTCGTGCTGTCTGCTGGTCATGTTGTCTGTGGCAGCTCAGTCAGGGGACAGGACCTTTGGACTTTTAGCTGTCTTTGGAGCTGGGCCAGTGTGGCCTTGGCTTCGGATGTCTCCTCCACCTGTTGTGATAAGCAGATCTCTGTCTCTTTCATCTTGTCCTTCTTCTCCTCTCATGTCCCGCTTCCTTAATTCATTTTCCACCTTTGTAGCGCTTCACCAAAAAAAAAAAAGTTTACTAGAAAACCTTATTTGAAGCAGATATGTTGTTATTCAGCGAGGCTGTCTTCTTTAAAATGATCAGTGGGATGTTGCCAGCACACGCCATTAGATGCACAGACACAAATATTCCTTAACAAGACAAGCACAGCAGGTAGATGATGTTTATCCCGCTTCCATCTTTTATTTTTGGAAACTTCCACGGAGGGCGTTGATAATCTATTGATCGAATCTAGCAGTACATTGTCCTGGAAGTGTAGTCTTGTACCTACACGTCTCAGATTGTCTCATTTCTTGCTTACAGCGTGCCTCAGAGCCATCCTCACAACACCCTGACTGTGTTTCTGTTAGGATCAGAAAGCAAAGCTATTACACACTGGAGGGTTTGTCTCAATCACACCGAATGGCTATGAATTTTAAATGTGGGATTAAAGCCCACAGAGGAGCGGGCACATGGGGGAGACTCAGTCAGTTGAGTGCTAATTTGATTTTTTTTTTTTAACAAACTGCTCCTACAACACATTGTTAGTAAGGAAGATGCATTGCTTGTACTGTAGTCTGTCAGTTGCTCCCCCAGCTCAGACCTCAGCAGGAACAAATTGGCTCTCCAAAAAAAAAAAAAAAAAAAAGTTATTACATCATAATGAACAACCTGTTTTCCATGTGAAAACAGCAGCAGCAGCTTATACCTGCTCCATGTCACATTATGACCTACTGTAATGCTAGATTTAATGTGAAGAAATCATTTCTTCTTTTCCTAAGAATATTTTTTAAATATCTGAGGTCATCAGCAGTACAAAAACTATAACCTCACTCTGCAAATTTGTTTGGTGATTATTTGCTCTCATTCATTGAATCAGATTTGATAGGAACAAACTCTCTAAAACTAAATCATCCCACCTTCTAATCTTCAACCTCTGCTTGACCTTTGCCATCAAAAGTCTGCTTCCAAAGAAACACGCCACACTGAGGAAGTGATGTAAAAAAGAGGATAGAGTGAGACGGTGTCCAACTCTGCCTCCTATAAACTGTCTGTTTCAGCAGGTTTAATAGCAGATTTTAATTGGTCCTTGAAAAGCATGAAGAGACATTTTATTTTGACCTCAGTATTGTCTAGCCGCTTGTTTAATAAAAAAATACTCAAGATGTGTCTATTAAATCTAGAGGCTGCATTTATCTGATCCATCAATGAAGGGATTAGAGTAGGCATTTTCACAAAACACTACCATGAAATGGTCTTTATGCTGCCTCTGATTGTTCATGAAACCCAGACAACGTTGATCCTGTCCTGCTGAGACGTGAGCTTTCAGAAATGAAGTGAGCATCACAGAGGTGTGGGGCAGAGCTCAGCTGTGTTAATGTGGACAGGTGTCCCCCTTGTTTTGTACTTGAAGTAAATTCAAAGTTGCTCTGGTTCATCGCCAATATTTCCTCAGTAGCTAATGAATCTGTTGTTGTTAGTGGTGTTTTGATACCACCAATCTTTCCAATTTGGATACAAGAAGCTTCAACCTCTTTTGCCACTTTGACATGTTCAGAAATCACAGCATCCAAGTCCTGTTTTTGTGAAAGTTCCTCATATACCCATTACGGAAGAATAATCTGAAATTCCCTTTACCTTCTTTAGGTGACTTGATCGAAATTATACAGTGTCATAAAATGTTATTATTATTATTATTATTATTATTATTATTATTATTATTATTATTATTATTATTTGTTATTTCAGGTGGAGAAATGGAGGACTCATCTCCATATGAACCTGTGGCCCCCAACCGGCAGCCTGATGTTTCCCGCTTGGCTTCCATCTCTTCAGGTATGTACCACAAATTCAATTTAAACTGAAATCAGCACTCTTTAGAGGATAGCGCAAAGTAAAAAGAAGAAAAATACAAAGTGTTGATCTTGTATGCCTTGTAAACGTCTTTTGCTTTTGGTCGAACTGGATGGTTATTGTTCAGTTTGTCTTGTGATGTACACTGAATGTCAGGTTGTATACATTCCCGGTGCACCATCCCATATTTCTCCCTACCATCGATTTTTCTTTCCGTTTGATTTCTACTTTGGTTTACTAATTAAACAGCCAAGCAGAGTTATAGCCTGCTATTTAATCTACTGGTTACCATTGTTAAGGTATCAAATCAATGCAGTGCTTCACATTTTTTTAACCCCGAGGTGCAGTAGTTAATTCATCAGGGAGCTTCGAGTCATAGAATAGAGGTGGCTGAATGGAGGGATGACACCTGTCCAATGCCAAAGTGAAAATTCAGGGAAAATAGTTATCATTAATCCATTATCTATTTCTGACAAGAATTTTCAAAGGATAAGTCTCCACTATTCCTCTTCTGTCTTTAAAATAAACCATCATTAAATACAGCCACGTGTATTTTTCCTCTAAAGTGTCTTCTTTCTTTTGTGTCTAGGAGGTACAAAATAAAAATATATACTTTTTTAGAATAATTCCACTAAACTTTAAAAAACAGTGAATCACTTCTTCTCAAAAATTGTTTTGTTCAATAAAGCATAAAAGGAAGACGCAAGAAAAAATATCTAAAACGAACATGATGTGATTAGTTAAGAGGTTTTAAAGATGATTATCAAATACCTCTCCTGATTTAAGTGCATATTCTTCTGGAAAACACTTAAACAGTGCATAATGTTATCAAGGCTGCACTATTATTATTTGCTACTTCAGTGGGAAAAGTGTTCAACAGCAGAACATATATTTCAGCCATGCATGTTATATTAACTCATTCTTAATTTATAGTTAGTTTTATTTTGTATTTGTGCAATGCTCAAACATTTTAGGGCTATCAGGTGCTCAGTTTTATTTTTTATGTCACAGTGGAACCACCTACATATTTAGGCTCTAACTTATAGGATTCTGAGACTTTTGCAGGCACCGATCAAGAGCAAAATCCTGCCCTCCCTGCTTTAGTTGTCCTGTTAGTTTTCCTCTCAAACAAAAGAAAAAGTCAGTTTTGTACGTAGACGTTGTTATGATGAGGTTACCAGTCATGGAACTGTAAAATTGGTTTCAGGGTGGAAATAAAAATCTAGTAGGAAGAAGCTGGAGATATTAGGAAACAACAGGGGGCTCATTACTAGAGCTATTTGACTTTAGCTATTCCTTCTGTTTTCTCTCAGGTAAAATATTAAATTTACTCTCCAAAAATATTTTTTTTAGCCACAAGCTTTGTTTCATTATTTATCATTTCGAAGTAATTGATTGTGGCACTGAGAGAGAGCCCCAGGCAAACAAATGAATAATTACTCACTTGTTTTATGAACTTTTCGTTTCAATTACTAAGGCACTCCAAAGAATTTATAATCGTGTCTGTAAATGTTACTGTATGAAGACCAGGGGAATATATAATATCGAGCTGGGTTATGAGGAGAGGGGAAAGCGTAGTCTCCAAGAGGAAAGGTAGGAAATTGAAAAGTAATCTATGCTATTCCAAAAGTTTTAGTCTGAAATGAAGATAAGGGACACAAGTTGTATTAGAAATAAAAGAGGATTCTATCGTAAAAACTAAACACAATACGGGGATTCTGCTTCGTGATACACACATGTATTTTAAAAGCCACTTTTTATTTCAGATTTTTTTTTCTTTGAATGTATTAAGTTGTCTTGGCAGATAACTTATTCAAAAAAATAAAAAGAGAGAAGGCATTTTTTTCCCAATGGGATAAGTTTCCTAAAAGGTCAGCTGCATCGTCCATGTTCTTTCAGTAGTGATAATGAGAATGTAACCAAGCACAACTTTGTCATAATTATATTAATTGACTGTATTTCTCCTGACTTGGCTTTGTTGGCACTGTTCAGCTGTGTTTGAGCACCTTAATGCTCAGCTAGTTGCATTTTTCTTTTCTTTTTTTTTTTGTTTTGAGCATCCACATTTATTTATTTATTTATTATTTATTTATTTATTTTTGAATTTAACTGTCACTTATTGTTCGGTATTTTCAACCTAAGAACTCAAAGAAACACAACAACCCCGCAGAACATTAAACAAGGACAACAGAGACCAGTAAGATTTATAGATTCACTTTGCAAAGGAGAAGTTCAGTGATACTTAACTTCGCTCGAAAGCTTAGTGAAGTTCAGAGAAGTTCTGAACTTTGCGGATGTGAAYTGTCTTTTATTCACACACGTAGGAATGAAGTCACACAATGATACMWCAAATCAGAAATCAGTTACCAAAGCTCGTCATAGGCATAAAAACCAATCAAAAACACTTTTGCTGCTGGGGTTTGGTATTTGAATAATAAAACAACACAGACTTGTTTTGCACGCCTTTAATGGAAACTTACAGGAATGTAAGAGTATTTCGGCAGTTGGTCTAATCATGGCCTTACCAGCTCTGCTCCAAAGCAGTTTCTGTCTGCTCGCACTCTGCGTTCCTGTGGATACGCCATGATAAACAACACATTTGCCACGTACCTCAAAACATTATTTGAAACACCTCAAAAAGTTTAATAAATTCTATAAAACTCTATCACTTATTAACCCTGCACTACTAATTAGTCAAATATCATTAATGGAATGTTAAGTGGCAGGTTACAATGAGTCAGAAAGATGAAGGATAAAGTAGTCTAATTTTTTTTCTTTTTTTTAGGTATAGGAGTAGGGTTTGGCAAAATCTTGTGTGCAATTAATCATCAGAGAAAAAGCTGTCAGCAGTTAATATTCCCCACTTTGCAATAACTACAAATAGTGCCACGTGATGACATATTTATGTGTGCACTATCAAGTGTGCATGTGAACCTGTGGGATGTTTTGTTACTAAAAATCTGCTGCCACTCCACATTGGGTTTCAGTTGACAGTTTACTATTTTGACCTGTTAAATATACTGTAAGTATAATTGCAGAACACAGGGTTACTGATTTAGTCAACACCATGCAAGTACTATTGTCATCTTTTAATCATCATGTTAATTGTTATTGGCTAGATGCTACAATTAATCGTTATGCATTTATTTGTTAATACTGTTCAACCCATCATCAGAGTAAAAAGCAAACAATGAGACATAGTTACTTATACTGCCATTTGCATTTAGTTTCTACTTGTTACTACTTTAAATGGATTTTTGTAACAGCGACATAACTTTAAGAGTCGAAACAATGGGCCTCATGCAAGAACATGTTTGTATTCTTATCCTAAATTTCTCTTACTTTTGTTCGTACGAAGGGTTCGTATGAACATGCCAAGTCAGACTCAACAAACTCTTCTATCTTCAGGAAAAGTGTGTAAATGAGCTGCGTAAATTCCACCTGTTCGTATCCAGCTGCTCGTGCACGCGAGAGGAGATTAGCATAATTACCACCCCAAAAACACCACATAAGGCTATGTTTCCTGCCTCAGATACAAGTGTCCATTCATGAAAAATGACAGCGATAATTAAAAAGAACTTTACGAGTTCAGAGATTGAAGTCCGTCTGTCAGAGATCCAGAAAAGAAAATCTGTCATTTTTAGCAGGTCACCTGTGGAATAAAAAAGAGCTGCTAAAAATATAAACAACTGTGTTAAATCATTTTCATTTATTCAGTCTGGCACTTTGGAGAGAATCCACGACTTGCTAGAGGGGTAATGTATCCCCTCTGGCCTGGGAACGTCTCGGTGTCCCCCAGGACGAGCTGGAAGGTCGCTGGGGAGAGCGGGGTCTCCTGCTGCGCCCCACGACCCGATCCCGGATAAGCAGCAGAAAACGGACGGACAATTTGTATTGTTAGTCTAAATTATTACATTTAAAATTATAACTCTAATTCAAGCAGAATAGCCTATTGTCAACATAATCATAGAGTGTGATTTATTTTCAACTCAAAATATCTTCAAACTAACAAAGTATAAGGTTATTAATGAAGAAAACCCATCTGGATAACAGCAGACTGACTGCTCGTAAAATATACGACAGGTCTGGACCACTCATGAATTTTGTTCGTACCTGAAAAAAATCTTAGAATACGAAAACATTGGTGAATGCCACAAATTTTCCTAAATCACTCGTACGCACAACTTTAGAACAAATCTGTGCGTACAAACGGTTCTTGCATGAGGCCCAATGTTGTTCCTTCCCATCCCACACTTTCACTGTCAGATTCAACCTCAATCTCAGAGATGAGTCAGATCAATCTTTTATAACTTGTCATAAGGTGTGACACTACACATCTGCACACCTTTCCACATTCTGCAGACATTGTCAAGTATTGTTCCCTTTTGGCCTGGTCTGTTAATGCTGCAGCAGAGACAATGGATATTTTCTCGTGTAGATGGTGGCTATAAGGTGAGCTGAGTTTTAACAGAAGAACAAATGTTTGATGAGGAGAGTAATCTACGAAAGTAAAAGTAACTCCTCAGAATACAGAGAAGCAGAGGAAAACTGAAACGTTTCTCCTGGGATTTACTTGCGGCAGCCTCAGTGAGTTCAGTCTGGCCTACTTTAGAGACCGCTGACGTTAAATGTGCGTCCGCATAATGACTGCATGTTTTAACTTTTACTGTAAGTTGCAATGTTCAGACCCTTATCTCAGCTACAGTGACCCTTGTAAGCGTTTTAAGATACATGTACCTGTACATATAAACAGAGAAAAATACTCCAATAAAAAAGGTATTGACATTAATAATAAATTATTAAATAGTTAATGGCTTTCCATCATTAAATGCTGGGCATTTAATTTAAAGATTTTATTTATTACTTTTAGAGTCTTAAATGGTTTGATCTTCATTAACTGATCTTCTAAACATCCATGCCCTGATATGATAACTATGATCAAGGTGTCAGCTTTGTGTAGGTGTTTCAAGATCCAAATTGAG